TGAGAATCCGCCTCTCGGTCCATGTTCACATAAAGAGCCATGCGCAAAACAAGTGAAGGACGCATTTGATATGCTCACTTTTGTGGTGCGACACGCCCCAGTAGTCCCGGGCTTAAATCAATCCAAGAACTGGAAAACAACGCTTTCGAACATTCTTGTTCAGCTAACAAGTCTGGCATGTTTTCTTTTTTTTCGAGCTGACATTCCCACGATCGTTACTCCCCAACAGCTGAAAGCTTTGGTGTCTCAGCCCAGGTAGGCTCCGGGGTGGTCCGGGGCGGCCCTGAGCTAAGGTTCCACACCAGGGTTCCACCAGGGTTCCACCAGGGTTCCACCAGGGTTCCACCAGGGTTCCACCAGGGTTCCACCAGGGTTCCACCAGGGTTCTACCAGGGTTCCACCAGGATGAGGGTTCCACGAGGTTCTGCGGGGCGGGGTGGTGCGAGCACTAAAAAGAGCACCGCATGCTGTTGGGGATATCACCTGGGCTTATCGTTTTCAATTCTGATCGTTTTGCAGTACAATGGGGCAACAGTTTTGGACACAAAGCACCTAAGACTTACATCGGGCTCAACTGCGCGAAGACTCTTCCCACGCCCAGGGGTAAAAAATATGTGGCTGTGATAGTTTCCTTCTCCCTGGCTTGTGGATTGCGCCTCGGTGATCGATTCGGTTCCAACTCTAAAACGGTTGAAAAGCGCCCGTTTTCGCCCTGCGGTGTAAATTCACCAAGTGTGCTTTTGTTGCTACTGCAAGCTTCAAACTCAACTCCTGGCTGACTGCAATACCAAGCCTTCGACCCCAACCCATGGCTGCCCGTGAGTCCGTAAGGGACTCTTAAACCCAAGAAAGTCAAAACTTTCTCGTGTACCACTAAAACAAGGGCTGCCTGGAGTTCCCCTCAAGTTGATCAATTTATTGCTAGTTTCCATTGAAACGATCGAACACCACTTTTGGAGGGTCCCCTTATGGTCAAAAACTTGGAAAGCGAGACTCAGAATCCCATCTCGGGGCCTGCTCTTTCTCTAAAACCTCCTGGTCGATTTTGATATTGGCCACGATCTCCATGTACCATGTGAAGGCCTCGTGTGTGGCTCTTGAGTTGTTCTCTCCCAAGTGGCGAGCAAGGCCTTTTGCCGGCTCACGAGTTGTTCTCTGCCCTGTGGCGCGGGCAAGGTCTTGTAAAAATCACCGTCTTTGTTTTGGCTTCCCACACAAAGGACCTACTCATATGAGCAGTCAAAATACAGGGGACCTAAGGACATTCCCCAGTCCCTGTTTCTTGCGGCTAACTTCGCGAGTCTGGCCATGAAAGAAACCAAGTAAACCATAGACTGGATATTGGGTCTGTCCTTCTTGGGGTACGCCAAACTTGGTTGAACAATTTGTTGCCATTTTGGAGGGCCCCTTTTTGAGACAGCCCCAGTTCTAGCAAATCTCATAGGGCAGAGCATCTCTCCAAGCCACCAAAGGCCTGTTGATCATGGCACATATATCAAGCTGTGCAAAAGCAAACAGCTCTCCAAAACACTCGAAACCTGTGGATAATAAGGCATAGTTGGGACTGGCAAGAGTAGACACGTATGCCTGCGTTGAAAGTCACTACTTCTGCGGCACTCAAACATTTCGGCAAGCACTTTAAAAGGATGTGTCCAAGTGGCCAGTAGCCAGGTGCAAATCATGTAGTTCAGCATACGAAACAGATTGACAATCGGCCGAAGACAGCCTCGTGTTTGAGTAATCAGCACTTACATACTCTTGACGCAACTGTGTGCTTGGTGAACTCACAATGCCTTCGCTGATTGCCCGTCTGCCGCGCGTTTGCCTTGACAACCCAGTGTGATTTGCTACGTGCCCTAAGTAGCTTGCACAGTGAGGCAACATTGCAATCCTTCAGCAGGAACTCTTGTTCCGTTGGCTAAGTTCGATCGCCTTCTCCTGAGGCAAACTTTCAATTCTAAACCATAGCGAATCCTAAACGAATCCTAAACGAGGCAAAACGTTAGACGGAGTTGGGATTGGTTCAGACTTGTCAGCGCAGACATCGAAATATGGGCCTTGCTTCTCTCCTCTGGAGGCTTGGGGTCAGTAGACAGTCTCCCAGACTTTGGGCATAGTTACAATCGGCTCGCTCGCGCCCAGCCTTACACCGGGCATCCTTAAAAAGGGTGAGCTAGCTGGTGCTTGCCCCGTTCCCCTTGGCCCTTCCCGCTTTCGCAATTTTGTGTCCTGCCTTCCGCATCGACTGGCTCAGCGTCTTCTGCAGTCCTCTTTGCCCAGCCCATGTTCAAAGGAAAGCAAAGCAAGGGTCACTGAATTTCCGAACCCCTTGCCAATTGCGATTTGTCTGGTGGTTTCCACTGAAGTAACAAACGCACAAAGAGCAACGCACCGCATCCGAATCGCTCTCCTTTGATATCGGCCCGCAGACGTAGAACCTCCGCGTTGGGCGGCATCATGTCCGGCCTGGAGGTCCTAGCAAAATGCGAAGCGTTTTGACCTGGGGAAGTTCCACGGATTGAACCAAACTTTTGTTGGCCACTGGGGAACACAGAAACCAGTTATGCATTGCTTTGGTCTGACTCTGTTCCATATTTGCCTTTACTTCAGGTGGCTTGTGGAACTTGTTTCTGGTCTCTCTTATACGACCATCCACAACGGAAAGCCCGCATTTGTGACATGTCGTGCCGCCTTCCAGTCCAAAGAAAAGGTTTTGACCCAACAAAAAGGTCAAAAGTCGAATGTGACAAGCCTCCAAATACAAAAACAAGACACACGCACACCTACTGTGCTGGAGGAAATCCATTTCGCACCACAAAATGAAATCACGGCGGAAACCCCTTTTTTGTCGGTATTTACCGGGGATTCGAATCATTTCAGGGTTTCACAACCACAGCTACTTACATATCCACTACCCGCACACGCGTGGGCAACGGTGTGGCCTCACTTTTCTCGTGGTTGGCGTCTAAAGGGAACGACCGCAGCCAAGCCTGTGGACAAATGGGTGGCTTGTCTTTTTTGGTGGACCCCCGCAACATGGCTTGGGTTTTCCTTTGGGTGTCCCTTTCAAACCAAAAGGGGTACCCTCAAAAACAAGACAGACCCATATGAATTGTCCCAGCCGCGAGATTTCAGCCTGTTGCCGAGCATGTAGGCATCACTTATGGTAAGTTCGCACTACATCTTGGCGGTCATGCCAGCAATTCACATTGCGTAATACGTTAATTCAGGCTTTGTTTCTTGCAGTTCGCGTTTCTAGCCACGCTGCCACCAAAACATCAGCGAAACAAGGAAAACCCTGGGGACAACAATGCCTGAGCCCATGCCCATATCGCTGTCAACCCATGCGCTCAGGCAAAACTTAAAATAGCATTGTTGACGTGGGAGCTTCAAGTATCAAATATGTGCAGTGCCTGTGCGTAGAAAGTAAACGCAGCCGATATCACCAAATGCGCTAGCTTGCCATGCAACACGTGAGGTAATTCCAAAATCCTGCCCCAAAACCTTGGGCGAGCAAAGAAGCGACTCGGAAGCGGGGGATGTCACAGCCGCTTGGTTTTTCTGACAAACAAAAGCTTCCTTCCCTCTGGTGGTTGAAACGAGCCGGGCGGTTTGGTGGTGTTCGGGGTTCTTTCCATTTTACCCTCTACAAGAAGCAGGGGTTCAAAGTTCCAGGCCACCATAAAATTGCCTGCGTCCTTTTGGCTCCCTGCGCGACCCACCGAGGCTCGCTCGAGCGAGCGAGCCTCGAGAAGACGTAGCTCTTGGATGTCGCAGTGGACGATGCTTTCGCCGACTTCTTGAGGCTCTTTAGCAGCTTCCTTGTGCGACTTGAACTCTTTGCGGCGCGAAAGCTTTCCTAAATGGAGCTGCACTGTGAATATACATATGAACAATGCATATCAATGAGAAATGAGTAATCGACATGTTAAACAAAATGGCTGGGGGCCTAAATTGCCAAACACCAATCCTCTGATCATATTGAATGTCGCTCATATATGACACACACACACCCACACATGCACACTCCCAACTGTATCCGAGGCGGTGACATCCTTGCTGGGTATGCCTCAACGTAGCGAACCCCGTTGTTCAAGAGAAACCAGAGAAACCCGCGAGAAGGCTTCATGTCGACAAAAAGTGTGTCCCAAGGGGGGTGCATCAAAAATAAGTCCAAATTCCCCGAACCTGGAGAGGCTGCCTTGTAAGGCAGAAGACAGCACAGCAACTTAGAAGGCTCATATACTTACGCTCCATTGCCCCCTTTTGATCCTACATTGGTGTCTCCTGATCTGGTGAAACATGGTACATGGTGAAACGTTTGAAACGCAGCCAAACTATGGTGTGAGTGCAAGTAATCAAAACAGGAATCCTTGTTCCCTACTTGCAGCAGTACGTAACATGCAGGAGAGCCGTAACCAACCACACCAACAAGCCCCCGCGCCGACATCTTTGTTAGTTTGTTTTGGGGGGACCCTTTTGGTTTTGGAAGTGGAACTCCTGCTGGGTTCCACTTCGCATGTGGAGACTCACTCAAATCACTCACCCGAGCGTCTGAAGTTCTAACTCCTTCTGCTCCATCTGAGTCCTCAGCCGCAGTTGCCCCTTCTTCTCCTCGGACATGGCATGCCCGGTGACGCTGTGGAAGCGCGTTAACTTTTTGTGGCCCGGACCTGTGCCCAGGCAATTGGGGTAAACAAGCCGCAAAAGAAAGGCCCCAAAACAGTAACCAATCCCTGGTCCCAAAGATCAGGGTTTCCCACACACAAGTGACCAAACAACCACAATCCAAACCAAAAGGGAAAAGGATACCCGCAACCTGGGTCGACGATGAACCGCACGAGCACTCCCCACCAACCAGCCCTGGGCCGAAGTCTTTTTCTCCTCCGACACGTGGGTGATCGACGTGGGGACCCGGCGACGCTCATCCGAGGTCGCGACGGATCCGAACTTGAGCCAAATGCCAACGGCTGGTTGCTATCGCAACACCTCCGAATGACATTCAAAGACATGGCTAATCACACACCCCTCACGAGGAGTCCGTCTCAGACGGGCGGAGCGTGCCGTTTACTGATGGGAATTAAAGCTCACATTCGTCCGCAAACAGCAGACACTGCCGCCATCAGCGGTGGAGCCAACCCACATAGGCAGTTGCGCAACATCCCGGGCATTAAAACCCCGCCACCACCCCGAATTAATCGGGGTACCGCTGTCCAACATACCCAGTGAAAAGGTCCACGTAACGATGATAGGTCACTACTGTTTGCATCAGAGATGCGAGTTTTCATTCTTATCAGAAGCCATGTGTAAGTATCCAACAAAATACTTGAATGATAGCACTTTCGCCTATCGGCAAAACACACGTCAATCACGACAGAATTTGGATTAATTTCGTGGAATGGGCGTATCCTCCACTGATCCACGCCCGCTCTCGCTCATACAACTTCAGAGTGACCTTCACCAGCCCAGCAACCACCACGCCTCACTGGTGCAGGAGGGGCATGGAGCATCACCCAGCGGCGACCGTCGGAGAACGAAGGATTCAGCCTATCGACCCCTCTGGCGACACAGCCTAACTGCTGTCATCACGCCTCCTCTGGTCACGTCCGCCCCGCGCGCAATCCCGATCGCGTTCCCGATCCGATCTGCTCCGGGTCTCTCTCCTCCGCTCCCTGTTCTCCTCACTCGACAGCTAGGGCATCGCGGCGATCCCTCCGATCGTCCCTTCTCCGACCGCGGTCTTCATCCCGCCGCGGTCGGTAGCTGCGCCTCCCTTGAGTCGTACGTCCTCCGTGACTCGCCGACGCCGCTCTTGAACCCACCTCCATGTGACGCCGAACGGATCGGGATAACTCCCTGTAGCAACATAGTCAGCGTGACATCATCAGGGATCGCACTGTCGTAACCCCCAGCCGGACCTCCAGCTGGCCACTCGGACCGCAGACAAACCCTGAGCATCGGACATTGATTACAATCGAACAATGGCCTGGATCCAAGTAGTCTGCATCGAATGCGAGCGCCTCAAAACACTGCAGGAAATCGGGGCAAAGTGCAAGCAGAGCGCCAAGCCTGCCACAGCAAGCGTACGAAAACCTAGCTCCACGATGAAAGAACAATGGCCTGGATGCAAGTAGTCTGCATTGAGATGAAGCACTTCAAACAATCAAACAAAACAAAACACCGAACACATCAAAAGCTTGGGCCTGGTGGGCCTGTGTCAAGCACGACCTTCAGCAACTCGCCAGCACCAAGCCGAAGCACACTCACATGAGACTTGCGATATAAAGCATTGGCCTGGGTCCAAATACTGGCCCCAAGCCCGCACTGATTGTTGAAGCACCTCAAGAACACCCAAAACTCAAGACAGCCTGCGCAGCTAAGTCAGGTCCCTGCCAAGCACGACCTGCCAGCAACTTGCCAGCGCCAGGAAGCTGTCTGCCAAACCGCCAAACCGGCCCAAGCACCACACACACAAACACACATATGAGACTCAAACCTTGCGATAGTAGAGTGATGGCCTGGTTCCACACACTGGCCCCAAAGGTTGAAGCACCAGACGACAAACTATCAAAAACTCGGGCCCGGGCCCCTGCCGTCAGAGGCAATCTCTTGGAATTCGCCCTCGCAGACCTGCGCGGCCAAAAGCTGAGAGTTAAAACCCTCGCAACTTCGCAACTCACAATGATAGAACAACGGCCCGCCTGGTTCCAAATGTTGAAAACTGAAGCACCTTGAAAAAGGGCCCCTGCCAAAGTTGCCAGTGCCAGTGCCAGAAGCTGGCACTACCTCGCAGCAGCCATTTTCATCGTATCTGGGTGTTTCAAAATATTTCATTTATAAATGGGTGCTTCATTTTGCCTGTGTGTTTTGGAAGCCGTTTTCAAGCGAAGTCTCTCTATGTCCCGCCTTGCTGCCCGCGCCGTGCAGCGTGTGCTCCATGAAACCCTCAACAACCTGCAGCCGCGCTGCAGACGATTGAACGTAGTCATGTTGAAAGCGAAACGAATAAAGGATGGCTGTAGTAACAGAACTCTACACTCTACACACGCAGTCGGGCAGTGGCAGTGGCTCTGAAACCCAGGCCATTGCTTTATCCGCTGTGGCAGCTTCCGGACTCTTCGGTGAAGGTGATTGCTGGGCCTGTTGCCTTGAGCTCTGCTTGGAAATTTCCTGGAGTCACAAAAAGCCCGTTTTTAAGTACAATACGTTCATATTGGTGTTAAACACCCCCTATTCTAATTATCCCCCCTATTTGAATTATCCCCCCCACCCCTCACTTACAGCAAATCATGACAAACTTGAACTCTGGCAAGTTCAAGTTTTTCATGTAGCGTTTAAGATTGAACGACTGTGCAGCCTACGCTCTTTTTTTGCGCTGAGCACCACAAGTGCGTAGCTCTCAGTCAATTGCCCTGGCCAACGGCTGAGCATGGACAAAGCGGACTGAAAACACGAGCCCGCCTTTTGAACGAGATCTCGAAGAGCAGGTTGGCACCCCCGCGCGCGCCAGCTGGACAGCGCAACGTGCGTCGTAAATATATTAAATTTACCAAACTGAAGAACATGCAGCAGCATGAGTTTCCGCGCAGCTTCATCACGAAAAGGCGCGAGAAACCTGCACGCGTCCGCCTTCGTAAGACAGCAGCAACTTGCGTATCTCACCTTCCTTGTCATTGTCTGGCCTAAGAGCTGCGCTTTTTGAGAATTCACATTGGTTGTCGTACATGCGCTAAGGCCAGGGCAAGAGCTTCAAACTTTGCGCGGGCGCTGGTCAGAAAGCGTTCCAGGTGTTGACAGGCGCCGTAAGGCGGTGACAAGCCTTTGTGATTCCCATGACTTTCTTATTGAAGTCCTCATCCATGAAAGTGGCATGTCGGGCGATATTGCACCGCGAAGACTGGCAAACCAGCAAAAGGTGAACAAACTGATGAAGCTTGGGGCGACAATTGAACACAAGATATGGATGTTCTCCTTGGCGAAAATTCAGCTGCACATACAATTTGCACCACGCAGTCCCCAAAGCGCATACCTGCAGCGCCTCACGCTCACCCTGAGAATCCAAGTGTATGAATACGAAGCACTTGGGCTAGAGGCCATCATTGAGAGTTTTTGTTTCAAAAAGCCACTTAGAGGCCAAGTGCGTGAATACGCGCTTTGGGGCGTGAATCACACCCTTGGTGGATGATGTAGCTATTTGGGCTCATGTCGCTGATGCGCTTTCACCTAGCGGCGCAGTTGCGCAAGAAGGACAATGAAGGTCCGCCCTCCTGCTCTCCTTTTTACCCGCATCGGAGTTGCATTCACTGATCGGGACTGCCTGCTTGCATCGATGTTGTGACACTTGCGCCACTTACACGCCCTTGTTGAGCTCGCATCTTGGCTCAGCTCAGCAACTGGCCTGGCAATGGCGCTGCAAGAGAAACAGATTCCCGAAGAGGGAGGTGTGCTGGTGACGAAGCCTCTGAAATTCCGTGTGAAGGCACAACTAGCAACATGTTGTTCACTATAGCCGACCAATTGGTCGCAAGCGGAATTTGGTGTCGTGTTGGGAGAACATTTTTTCTGCAGGCGAGCGCCGAGTTGATGTTTAAATGCCTTCGGGGGCCCATCGAGGCAAACCTGGAAAATCTGAGAAATGATGGCGGGGCAACATGGCAGAAACTTACATGAGTGGCATGATGTAGCTGGTGGAGTGTGCTTTCTTCGCGCGCTTGTGTGCTTCGGCGTGCTTGCTTGTGCTTTGCCCACGTGCGAGCTTTGAGTTTGTGTGTGTGTCTATCAGGCTTGTACTGTACGGGTGTCTGTATATGTGTCATGTGATGAAAATTCATGTTACATGCATATATGCGTGTGTGTGTGTCTATGTGCTGCGCATTCACGCTAGCTGCGTGTGTGCGGCTCTCAGTCATGCGTGCATGTGTGTTCGCACGTGTCTGTAAGTGTGTTGTGCTGTGACTTGCTGCAGCTTAGTGTCTCTTTTGTCGCTGTGCTTCTGCTTGAAGTTGCGCTGTACATGTATTTGACTGTGATTTCAACTGTGGTTCGTTTGTGATGCGGTTCTATGCCATTTGCATCTGCATGTGTGTGTGTGTGTCTTCGCACTGTGCTCGCGTGTGCGCCCCATGCGCGTATGCCATGATTGAATAACTTCTTTCCAACCGAACCAGCTAGTTGGAGCTCACAGTTTCGCAAAAAGCGCATTGCTAGGCATTTGCTGTCATCAATATGACAGATGCCAAGGTGAAGGCCGGCTACAATGATTATTTGACACAGCAAACACGGGAGTATTAGGGCAACTGTCTGTTTTAAACACATTGTTTTCGGAAGGTGGGTGAGGATGACCTCAAGCGGAATTTCGAGCTCCTGAAGCCCTATGTGGTTGAGTGGGCTGGCCGGCGCATCCCCAACTGCACTGAGCACAGGGTCACTCTCCTGCAATTTCGGTGAGTAGATTCATGGGATCTCCTAAGAATAGCTTGATCTGTCGTTCTAGGGTGGTGGTTTCCCAATTTCGTTCCCAACTACTAAATTAGAGAACTGAGCCCCGTTGACTAGAAGCCACAAACATGGGTTTCCATTCAAAGTTTGCCATCCAGCCTCGGCGTTGTTGGCGA